CTACACGACGCTCTTCCGATCTCCCCAAAACCCCAAAACCCCATAAGATATATCATCTTTTTAAAGTTTTTAGATAAAATAAAGTGAGGAAAGTAAAAGTAAATTTCATCATTTTGTTTAATGCTTCGTTTTATTACTGCTTTTCTATCCTTTATTATCAGCTCTATGTTCTTTATTTGCTTAAGTTTTATCATTTTAGTCTTAATTATCATCGCCTTTTGGTGAAACAACTGTTAGTGACTCAGTTTTCTGCTTATAAAACTTTAAACTAATGAGTTTGAACTTTAACAACAGAGAGAAGACATACTTTTCCAATTGATACTTCACTACAAATAATTTGATTACTCGTAAAATAGATCGAAAAATCAAGTATGCTATTCCTAAAAATATGAGATAGAATACTAAGAAGATATCAGTCTGCATAAAAGCCAAGAAATTGATTGACTAGTACTAGAATGGTCTAAATTATTCAACTCCAACATCGAAAATGTAATCTACCCAATATTCCATATCTTCAGGGTCATTTTTTGATTCCTTAATGGCATTAGATATTTGCCTCAAATTTTCTTTGTAAAACCCACTTCTTTCTATAGTTAACAGTTCTTCCAAATAGTATTTCCAATTATGATTTCTCAGGCATCTTCCATATCCACTTCTTTTAACATGATAGCAAAACATAAACTAGTCGAAGATTGATATTGGCAATATAATCATTGGAACTTGTGCCTCTAGAGATTCCTGAACACTATTTGAGCCACCATGAGAAATGAAGACTTTGGTATGAGGATGAGATAGCATAGTTACTTGAGGGACGAAATTTTACTTAAGTATCTTTGGGAATCTCTTTTTAAAGTTGATATTTTCCTCACTTTACATATTATCCTTTTTGTTGACTACAACAAATGACCACCCATGTCTAGCAGAAGCTACTTTCATAAATTCATATAACTAGCCCATTTTATACTCAGATGGCTGAAATTGAGTTCCAAATGCAACTAAAACAATTTTATTATTCTGCTAGTAGAAAAGACTCAGTTCCTCATTCATCATAAAATCACTGCCTGTTAATTGTTGTTTGTATTTATTCTATACGAATCTAACACTAGGATTTTTGTAAATTGGCGGGTTAACTCCATCGACGTTAATTGAAATTGTCATATTCTGAATTCTAGTTTGTGTTATGTATCTAACTTCGCTCTCCTATAATTCTTTTTCAAATGTCCACTTCAATAGAAGTACAAACCAAGATTTCTATATATACTCTGTTGTAAAATGCTAAACTCTTTCAATGAAAGTACTCTGAGGCATATCTCCGAAAATCATTTGTCTTTGAAGGTTATAATGAGTACTGTGAAAGTATGGCTCAGCTAGCTTATGAAGAATATCTCCGTCAATAGGTCCATTCATAATATGCAAAAACACTGGTATTTCTAAGTAATTAGCCAAAGTTTGCAAGTAGAGCATTTACTCTGTGATGAGCATATCAAATTTCTATGACTTAAGGTTCTTATAGAAATCAAACTACTCGTTAAATAGTCTGTGTAGGTTAACTGCTGAGGTATCCCAAACTTTCAAGACACCTTAATTATCCTTAGCTTCTTTAAACCTAATCTTATTATTTGCCACAGATTCTTAGGGCAAAGGTGGCTCATATATAACCTTTACACCCTTTTCTCTCATCTTCTTTACTCCATCATCTTCTTTTGCTAAAATCATTGTCACATCATAACCTTTTTCTGCGAGACTTACTGCAATTCCTGTATTGACCTTGATGTGACTTGTGCTGGTCACTCCTTTTAATAGTATCTTTTTCTTTTTCTATTATTATTCTTTTCCATGCTGCTAAGATCTCGCTTTACCCTTATTTCTAAGAGGATCAATTAGTCTAGGTTCTGGGATTTCCATTTAAGATAGAACAAGGCATGAAAATATGTTAATTAGGATAAGGATGGCAAACTTTTTAAGCATCTTTTGACAAGTAATTACTTTTAATATTTATTAATAATTCTCAAGAAATTAACTTTTAACTAATAAGCAATCTAAACTGACGCAACAATTTAAATGCTAGAACTATCAATAACCAAAGCAGGATATTAAGTGTAAACTTTACATCTAAATCCATATAAAAATGAGCTAGTTCTCTGTGATATTACTCTTGTCTGAATTAATTGCTGCCTATTTCAAAGATATAATCAATCCAATACTCAAGATCCTCAGGATCATCTTCCCGTTTTTGTTTGATAACTTCTGAGTATTTTGGTAATTGCTACTAGTAGTATTAATGGTGTTCAATCTCAATTAGGGCATTCTCTAATCTATCTTGAGATATATTAGCGACACATTGTCCAAGTCGCCTCTTTTCTACATAGTTGCAATGTAAAAACTAGTCATAAACTGAAATAGGAGCAATAATGATTGGGACCATAGCTTCAATTGATTCTAGCATACTATTTGAGCCACCATGAGATAAAAATGCTTTTAGATGTGGATGCTCGAGAAGTTTGATCTATGGCACAAATTTCTAAATGAGTATCTTAGGGTATTTTAATTAAAACTGTCTGACAATCTCCATGTCTATTGACTCATTGAGATCTCTCTTTGCGTAAACAAAAGCCCAATCCGAATTAAGAGACATATTCTTCATAAAACCCATGATACTCTCTAGCTATTTATTATTTGGCTTGTATTAGGTTCCAAAAGCTACTAGGCAAACCTTTTTGTTAAAATACAAAAATTCTTGGAGCTGATCATTAAATACTTAGTCTTTTACACTTACGCCTTACTTATACTTAGGGAATATGTACTTGATTGTAGGTTGTGAAGGTATTGGAGGATTTATACCCTCTATATTCAAAATAAGTGACAAGTTTTACACTCTTCTGTTGAGTGCATCACTATGATACTCTATTGGCAGTATTTCTTTGATCTTTTATTTAAGATAATGCTCGAACAGACTTCTATGAGCCAAAAGCGTCATGAAATTTTAAACTCTTAGGTAAAACTAAGATTTAGGTTGTTAGTCAAAGAGTACTTATCTCATCAGATTTTCTTAACTAGAGTGTGCAACATACTCACCAGACTTTTGATAAAACTCAGCTTCTCCTGGACCATTCATAACCTGAATAAAAATAGGTATCTCCAAGTAGTTTGCTAATACTTGCTAGTATTGCATTTATTCTGAGATAATCATATCAAATTTCTAGTCGTAAAGGTACTTGTAAAATGCCATTTAGTGATTGAATATTGCATCTAAATGAGTACCTACGTTATCCCAGATGTTTACTAATGTGCCATTTTGTTTATATTCCTATACTATCTTGTAGTGCTTCATCTGAACTTCTCTGGAGAGTGGTGGTTCAAATAATACCCTTATACCTTGTCTTTTTAATTCATCAACTATCGGGTCTTTTGTTCTGAATATTATAGTCACATCATGACCTTTACTACGCAAAGACTATGCTATTCCAGAGTTAATGCGCACATGACTAGAACTTGGCACTCCTTTAATCAAGATTTTCTTTCTTTCACAATTTATCAGTGCTGATAAGAGTGCTATAAGTAGAAGTAACTTTAATGATTGAAGCATTTTAAATTATATCTTCACTAAGGATAATTGTTTAATAGAAGTTTATTGTATCTTTAATAAATTTATTGGCTTAGCATCAAGGGGTTTTGGGGTTTTGGGGTTTTGGGG